CATAGCCAAATATGGAGTTGTTTACAGCTAGGCTACCAGGAAGCCAGCGCCATCTTTGAATGGCGGCTCCCTACATTTTTTATTGTTGTTTGTTTTGTTTTTGTTTTTGTTTTTCGAAACAGGATTTCTCCATGTAGTTCTGGTGCCTGTCCTGGATCTCACTCTGTAGACCAGGCTGGCCCAGAACTCACAGAGATCTGCCTGGCTCTGCCTCCCAAGTGCTAGGATTAAAGGCGTGCGCCATCACCGCCCGGCCACATTCTTTGAATATTATTATACATTTTATATACTTTTTTTTCTTGGTCCTAGGGATCAAACCCAGAGTTTCATGCATACCAGCTGTGGTGGTTTGGAAGAAAATGGGCTCCATAGGGAGTGGCCCTATTAGGAGGTGTGGCCTTGTTGGAGGAAGTGTATCGCTGTGGGGGTGGGCTTTGAGACCTCCTATGCTCAATCTATGCCCAGTGTTACAATTCACTTCCTGTTGCCTGCAGATCAAGATGTAGAACTCTCAGCTGTGTCTCCACCACCATGTCTGCCTGCATGCTGCCATGCTTTCCACCATGATAACAGGCTGAACCTCTGAACTGTAAGCCAGCCCCCAATTAAATATTTTTCCTTTATAAAAGTTGCCATGGTCATGGTGTCTCTTCACATCAATAGAAACCCTGACTAAGACACCAGCCAAGCATATTACTAGTGAATGAAAATGCTACCCTATGGTACACATCTGTAGAAATAGGGTCTAACTTCTCCCGAGCCAATAGCTATGAGTACAATTTCTGGGTCATAAAGTAAGTTGATAAGATGAATAATGTGTAAGTATTTGTTGTTGATTGTTTCTTTGCTCTTTTGCTCTTTTCTCTTTGGGGGAGCACCACCCAGCTCCCAAATAAATAACACATGGAGGCTTATTCTTACTTATAAATGCCTTAGCTTGGCTGTTGCTAGCCAGCTTTTCTTAAATTATCTCGTCTACTTTTTGCCTCCGGGTTTTTTCCTTTTCTTACTTCTGTGTATCTTACTTTCACTCTTACTCTGTGGGTGGCTGGCACCTAGCATCCTCCTCTCCTCCTTTTCTCATTCCTTCTTCCCCCTTCTCAGATTTCTCCTCTTATTTGTTCTCTCTGTCTGCCAGCACCACCTATTCCTCTCTCCTGCCTAACCATTGGCCGTTCAGCTCTTTATTACACTAGCCAGGTGTCTTAGACAGGCAAAGCATCACAGCTTCACAGAGTTAAATAAACAAATGCAACACATCTTTGCATCATTTAAACAAATGTCCCAGAGCGTAAACAAATGTAGCACATCTTAAAATAATATTCCACAAGTATTCTAATTGCTCCTCATTCTTGCCGAGTTTTGGATTGTCAGCCTGTGTTGTGATGATTAGAATGACTAGGGGGATGGGATGGTATTTCACCATGGCTGTAGTTTTCGTTCCCCTGATGACTAAAGACATCAATCATTGTTTCTTATGGTTCCGGGCCATTCATATATCCTCTTTTGCAGAGTTTCTATATCTTTTGCCCCATCTTCATTGACTTTGTATCACTGAATTGGAAAAGCCTCTGATATGCTGGATTCTGGTCTCTTGTCAGGTAGATATTTCATGAATAGTCCCTTCTAGTGTATGGTTGGCTTATTCAACTTATCAGCAATAGCTTTTGATGGAAGAAGGTTTTCATTTGATGAAACTTAATTTATTGATCTTTTTCCTTCTCTATTTCTCCATTTAAAAAATAACTTAGCTTATCATAAAACCATAAAGATATTTGGTTTTTTTCCAAAGGTCTATGACTTTAGCTTTTATGTTTATGTCTATTATCCATCCTCAGATGATTTTTGTGTATGCTGGTGAAGGCATCAAGGTTCACTTTCTTTTTATATGGATATCAAATTTAGTGATAGTATTTATTCTTTATTGTATTTGGGAAGGGTTCCTTTTCCTACTGGACTGCTTTGGCACCTTTATCAAAATTCAAATGACTATATAAATGTGTGTTCTTTACTGTGCTCCCTGTTTCTGGTCCATTGATTTGTTAGTTCTCCATTACCTTGATTACTGTGATTTCACAGAATATTGAAATCAGGTAGCTTAAGTCCTCAGATTTATATTTTCTTTTTAAAAGATTGTCTAGAACAACCGATGTTCTTTTTTCTTTGATTTCTGTATACGTTTCAGGGTCAGCTTAGTATTTTAAATAAAAAGTCTTAGGTTTTTGATATGCCATGTGCCATCTCTACTCGGTAGAATAGTGAAAGTGAGAAAGCAATCTCTGTAATAAACTCTTGCCTGACCGGGCTATGGTCATGCATGCCTTTAACCCCAGCACTCAGGAGGCAGATGTAGGTGGATCTCTGTGAGTTCAAGGTCAGCCTAGATTACAAAGCCAGTTCTAGGACAGCCAGAGCTGTTACATAGAGGAATCCTGACTTGAAAATAACAACAACAACAAAAGAATCATGTTTCTCCTTCACACCTTCCACATTACGGAGAAGTGTCCAGATATATCATCATATACCTGTCATTATAGAGAATTGTTTATTGTAAAGTTAATATAGAATCATAACTCCCAAGTGCTGGAATTAGAGGCATGTGCCACCAGCACCTGGCAAAGGACTGATTCTTTATTGCATCACAAGACAATTGTTTCCTCTGAGGAGCTGCTTTTTAACAGATAGCTAGCTAGCAAGATATACAGACAGATATATAGATATATAGATAGATGATAGATGGATAGAGGATAGGTAGATACAGATAGGTAGATGATAGATAAATGATATATGGATGGTAGATAGATAGATATAGATACAGATATAGAGAGATAAATGATATATGGATGGATGATTAGATAGATAGATGGTAGGTAGATCATAGATGGATAGATGATAGATGACAGATAGACTGATGATAGGTGGATAGATTGATGGTAGATAGGTGATAGATATATAGATGATATATGGGTGATAGATAGATAGATATACAGACAGACAGATAGACAGAGACAGACAGATAGACAGATATAGAGTCTACCTGATCTTTATTTCCTATGTCCTCTTCTTACTGCCTTTTATCGTCATCACTATCAGTACCATAGCTGATGTTCTTCATCAGCCAAGGATTACTTTCCTATACCCTTTCACATGCTCGCATCTCATGTAGTCATTATTTTCTCTCACTTTGAAAATGAGGAAATTAAGTTTAGTGATGCAAAGGGCTTTTCTGAGGTCCAGGAGCCAGGCATGGTAGCATTGAGACCCAGCTTCCATCTCCCCACTTTGAAGGTTGTCACTTTGAGCATCTTCTAGTCAAGAATCCAATGTGATAGTATTTACCAAATCTAATACAATACTATTTTCTTTACTCATTCTTGAATTATTTAAAACTTTCATCATCACTAGTGCTGTTTCTTTCTAAAAGCACCAGCCATACCCTGAAATCATCTTCACATACTCAATATTCTACAAACAACAATGGCTAGCTCAGTTGGCTTTTGCATTACATGTGATTTTAGAGCCAAAGTAATTTAACCTTCTCTCTTTTCTCTTCACAGTGGTAAACTATTTTCATAGTGTCTAAGGATTTCTTTATACATCATGCATGTCTCATTCAAGTCCTAAGCTATCTTTATGTATAACTCAAACTGAAGATTGTCATGCTCCACTGATTTCTATCATCCAAACATGTTGTTGAAATTCCAATTATGATGACTCTCTCTGAGTCAGTCATATAAATTCAACCTTACAGGTTAGATTTTTAAATTTCCCTATTAGCATAGAGAGAGCTATTAGTTAGTGTATTTTGCATTGAGCTATATATAACGCTTCATACTGAACTCTTTGTTTTGCTAGGAATAGTGCATATGCTATTAGCCTTGCTCCTTGGCACCCTTACTTCCCCTTAAATAAGGGGACGGACACACACACACACACACACACACACACACACACACACACACTGCATGGGGAACTTAGCAAGCTGTGCTTTTTAACTGCCTCTCAAATGGAGAATTGAAACCTTCCCAGGTGTCTATATTGATATGCAATAACTGCTACCCAACTCAAAATGATGATCTCTCTACCAACGTAAACAGAAGACTTAAAGATTCGTGTCCTAGCCCCCTTGAGAAAATGATTTTTTTCCTGAAGATAAACGGCGGAAGAAGAAAGCAGCCATGACCCAGAGGAGAATACACCTTCTACACCAACCTCTGGCTGCAAACCGACCCTCTACTGCAAGTTCATCAGATGGCAAGAAACAGGTTATAGTTCACACTGAACATGAATATATTTATTGACATTTGTGTTATTTTGAAGATATGAAATTAAACACAAGGACTTTTCTTTCCGATACCGCTCGTTTAATTAAGCAGACACTGTATTTGTGAGCTTTATGGCTTTGCTTAAAAGTGTAATGAAAAAAAAGTACATTCTCAGTTTAATTTTATAGAGATCACATAATAATGGTGACAGGTGGAGCCACGTGGGGGTGGAGGCAAATTGGTCTTCCATCCCAGACGTCAAAGACATGCTACAGACATCAGGGAAATGTCTCGTGGTTGGGAAAGGTAAGGGGACTCAGCAGGCTGGGCTTTGATACCCAGGGCTTTCATTTTTAATTAAAGAATGTAACTCTGGTGAAAAGTCATTACATCGTCTTATTTTATACAGGGCTTGTATGATTGCTTTGTGAAGGAAAGAACTCTTGGCA